GAGAGAGAGAGAGAGAGAGAGAGGAACCATCATTTAACCATCCTACAAGCAGATCAGAGAGTGTATTGTGATTTAGTCACTAATCCCTCCTTGTTCTGGGGCAGGGAATAAATTATTTCTGCTCTTGGTTTATTCTGTGTTAGGCTACCTATTCTGGCTGCTGAGTAAAGGATACTAGTGTCAGGACTCCTTCCTCTGTATGACACCTCCCTATGCTGTGAATTACTGGAAGGAAGGGTGGGCAACACTGCTGCTGTCTTCTGTAGCAATGTCTGGTTTGAGAAGGGTTGAGCACGTGCATAAGAAAGGGATCTTATTTGTGGCTAGAAAGTATCTCTGTCTTCATAGATGTAAAATAGTATGCATATATACACACACACATACATACTGCTGTAAACTCTTTTTTTTTCCAGTTCCTTTATATATGTATATAAGGAGCTGTAAAACTGTATAGCAGTGAAGAATGCATCAGAAGTCAGGCTTAACTTTTAAAATGCAACGTCATAATAGGTGGTTTTACTGTCCTTAAAAACAAAATGTTATGTTCTAAAAAGTAGGCAGTATCTTTTTGCATTTTATTTTGTGATGTTTTTCCGTCTAGTTAATGTGTGTTTCAAAGTATTTAACTGGCCTGATGAGCAGTGCTTATGCAAAAGCTTGTGGGGGAGGCAGGTAGAGGGGCTGTGTGACCAGCAGAGTGAGAATGCTCCCAGTTAAGTGTAGTCCTTAAAAATATACAAATTTCCATTTTGCATTTGTTTGTTTCTTGTTCTAACACCACAAGTTAATTGGCATATTGGCTTTAAAGTGACCCTGCCAAGGCTGATAGAGCTACATTTTAAACTGGCTAGTTCTGATAGGTTCATGGGTATGCACAACACATTGTTCATCCATTCATCTTTGTCAGCAGCCAGGAGTTTGAAATATATGGGAAGAACTTTGCTCTTGGAATTTGGCTATTGCTTCAATGTAGTTTGTGCTCTTAATTGATAAAGGAGAAAATCCTTAAAGTGCTCAAATCAAGCACTAGTGAAAACAACAAGGTTCACTGAACTCGTTCAACTAGGCATATGGTTTTGATAATGATTAATGATATTCTGTTTTAAGAATCTTTCCTGAGAACTGTTCCTTTGAAGACAAGTAGCATGGTTCAAATACAGTGTATCATGACACTAGATTTATTTTTTAGGTGGCACATCCCTTGATTCGTAACCAGCTTGTGAATTACATTTACAATGGGTTCCTGGTGCCAGTAATGGCTCCTGCACTCCATAAGGTTAGTGGTGTATGTGTGTGTGTACATGGATAGCTGAAAAACAACATTAATGATCACTAGACTATTAGTATTAGTCTGTAATTTGGGAAATTTTTCACTGTTCTATTGCTTGGGTTTCTGGCTGACTTTGACCTCACTTTTCCCACCTTTCCATTCCATGTTGTCCAATTCCCTTTGATGACATCTGTTCGTTAAACAGGGTAGTGTCATTTTTTTAGTGATGGAAGATCATCTTTTGGAAGAGAGGCATATTTTTTCTTATTCTCCTTAGACCTAAAGGCAACATGTCATTTTGGGGCCCACTGTCCTCTACCTACTCCCAAATTGACTCCCAAGTTGCATCTTCTACACAACTGTGAAGCATGTTGATCTTATGCTGCTGTGTCAGTACAGGAATAAACATGTTTTAAAAGGCAGGAATTAGGACTTGTTTGGGTTGATATAACTCTTTAATATTACATTCATATTAGTCCTATGAATACCAGCAGGTTGGAAATAGTAAAAGAGGAGGTATGTTCCCATTGCTTGAAGACATTGTAGTGGGAAGCCTAGTGACTTAGCAGCAGTGGAAAAACTCACATACAGAGAGGCATTGCACTCGGCAGCTGTGACTCAGCTTAGTTATGTTCTCTGTCTGGTGCCTAGCTGAGGTGTTACAAACCTTTACTTTCTGTCTGCTTGTTGCCATGAGCCCCAGTGCAGGTATTTGTTAGGGAGCTGAACAGAGAGCTTCTAACCTGCCTTCAGTTTTCTAAAGAAACTCAAAAGTTGCTCTGTGGCTTCTGGGTGTAGCAGCCAGGTAGGGAATGGAAGCAGTGACTTCCCTGTTATGGGTTACTGCATATGAAATCTGATTTCTTATGTGTACCATCCTGCCTGCACATGTCAGATGCTCTCTCTTGGTTTTTTAAGATACTTTTTGAATGAATGAGCTACACCAAAATATCAGTAAAGTATTTGAGGTGTTGAATTAGCAAACTGGGCATGATCTTGACCTTGTATCTAGCAGTGCTTATACCAAATGTACCAATAGTCCATTCATATGTGCTATTATGGCTATTGTTCTATTGGCATGCACAGTGTTTCCAGGCTTGCTTTTTTTCTAGTGAAGAAAACAGCTTCCCCACTTAAAATATAGACCTGAATTTTGGAAAGCTGATTGTTTTTGGGGGAAAGTACATGTTGTACACAAGAAAATATGGTATTTCCTCCTTCAAGTTTCTTGGTGCATTCTGTTGTTTGCCTGTCTCTTTAGGGAAGGGGGTTCCCCACATTTCATCCTGAAAAGCCATTTCAAAGGGGCAGTCCTGGATGGCAGACTGCATCAAAGGGGCATCTGGCCGTTGCTTTAGGGTATGTCCATCCAGCAAAATGAAATTGTGGTTGCAGTGAACAACATGCTTGCTTGAATCAAGTAGGGTTAGTAACAATAGCAGTGAAGTTACAACAGCAAAATCTTGTGTATGCTGGCAGAATGCATGCTCTCTAGGGCAGGGGCAGGCAATTATTTTGGGTGGAGGGCCGCTTACTGAATTTTGGCAAGCCATCAAGGGCTGTGTGAGAGGCAGCCAGGGGCAGATAAATATTATTTGTCTAATTTTTTTTTTTTAGGGGCCCTGTGGGCCTGTACCACTGTATCCTTACTGCTGCTGTTACCCATGCTAGATGAAGCTGGCATGGGTCTACTGGCATGTGCTACAATCAAACTTTTACTTTCTTGTGTAACCAAATTTGAGACTAAGCTAATTAACTCTGGTGTCTGTGTTTTGTCCAACATTAAGCAGCTAGTAGTAGTACCTCATTTGTCTTTATTTGCATTCTTCGTTTTAAGTGGCTGTAAGTAAATAACACTAACCATAAGCTCTGGGTCTCTTTGGCTTCAGCTAAAAATACAGTCTGTAACTTCTAAAAACCACTGAAAATTCGCAAGAAGTTATCTTCTCTAGCACTGCTTCCTTTCCTCATTTCCCCCCCCCCCCACAGCTCTGCATGAACATATTCCAAAGGACAGCTGCCTCAGCTTTCATATTCCTGATCAAAACTCTACCAATGCTTTGAACAACAACAAAAAAGATGCATTTTTAAGACACTGTGGCTGACTTAACCTATTTCAATAGAGGAGTATGTTTCAAAGTCAAGGAACCTTCACTGGGAATGCCTTGCCAAGAGTTCCATTTTCTGTATACCAAGGGATCTCTAACTGATCTCATTAAGCACTGATGATCCCAACTGAGGCTAAATGTTACTTGCGGGTAGAGAGATAGTCTTAGGTGTCATCTGAAGGTCTAAAGGAGTTAAGTAAAGGTTGCTGTTTGGGTGGGTAAAGTAGCTAAAAAAATAAAACCCAAGAAGAGCCTAGTCCAAACATTGGTCAGTTAGTTGAACTTGATCCACACTTCCAAATTTGTCAGAATTTTAGGACATTTCTGTCTCTTTACTTAATTTAGTTCAGCTTTGAGTCTTGTCTACAGGTAACCTGTTAAACCTGTCTTTTTTATGTTCCACTTACATAATATGTAGTATGATTATAGTCCTACCTCTTTTGGACTCCACCAGTTGTTTTTTCAGATTATATCAGCAATTCAGAGCATTGCCCAGCTTTGATATGTGCAGTGCAGTGCAAAGAGATGTGAAATTCATCTTTTCAGTGTGCATATGGACAACCTTGTGGGGAAGCAGTCAGGAAGGCCAACCGTACCTTGTCGTGCATCCACAGATGCATCTCAAGCAGGTCCAAGGAGGTGATCCTCCCCCTCTATGCGACACTGGTCAGGCTGCAGTTGGAGTACTGTGTCCAGTTCTGGGCACTGCACTTCAGGAGGGATGTGGACAACATGGAGAGGGTCCAGAGGAGGGCCACCCACATGATCAGGGGCAGCAGGGCAGGCCCTACAAAGAGAGGCTAAGTGACCTGAACCTGTTCAGCCTCCACAAGAGAAGGCTGATGGGGGGATCTAGTGGCCATTTACAAACTAGTCAGAGGGGACCAGCAGGCATTGGGGGAGTCCCTGTTCCCCCGAGCACTACCAGAAGTGACAAGAAATAATGGTTACAAGCTGGGAGAGGGTAGATTTAGGCTAGATATCAGGAGGCGCTACTTCACTGTCAGGGTGGCTAGGATCTGGAACCAGCTTCCAAGAGAAGTGGTGCTGGCTCCTACCCTGGGGGTCTTTAAGAAGAGGCTGGATGAACACCTCACCGGGGTTGTTTGATCCCAGTACTCTTTTTCCTGCCATGGCAGGGAGTTGGATTTGATGATCTGCTCAGGTCCCTTCCGACCCTACCAACTATGAAACTATGAATTTCTTGAGGGAGAAAAGAAAATCAGATCAATCAATAATTTCCTAATTATGAAAAGCACTTATTGTTTATGGACAAGTTTATCACCAGAAGCTGTGGAAGAACTTAATCAATGCATGTGTGAAATTCGTGGACCATAAGGATCATGGCTGCCATGAGTTTTAGGGCTTGGGGTGTGTGAAACTTCCAGACCCAGGGGATCGCAGCTGTTACAATCCCTAGGACTCGGTGGTTTTTCACTGGGCAGGGTGCACTCCTGTGGCAGGGAGCCCTGTTAGGTCTTATTCTTTATGGAAAACTGCTGACGGGGCTCCCAGCCACAGGGGCGATCCTGCTACACATGCAAATTAAAGCTCAATAGCAACCAGTTCTAAAGTTAGTACACATTTTTGAGGTCTGATTTTTATAGCTGGTTGGAATTTTTACTGTGTGGTAGCTACTTTGCATGCGTAGCTGGTATCTAAGTAATTGTGCAATTAACCAGTTAATTATGCAATACCTGTAATGTATAGAGCAGTGGTTCCCAACCCTTTTTAGACCGTGGACTGGTACACCGCAGACCAGAAGTGACCAGCATGCTGCAGACGTGCAGCCAACCATTTTTTTTATACTCAGTATGCTGGTCACTTCTGGACTTCTGGTTCGGCAGCCAACCCTCCTTCAGACCGACAACCAACCCTATGTGGCCTGGTACCAGGCCATGGCCTGGGGGTTGGGAACCTCTGGTATAGAGGAGGCCTTAGTGATCTGTGGAAAACAACTTGAACTGACTGACCTGGCAGAATGCACAGGTTTTTCTTGTTGGTTTCATCAGAAATCTTGTGTGTCATGGGAACTTCACTGCCTAAAATCTTCAGTATTTTCTGAACTTGAAACTGGCTACCTGTATAGTAGTTCTGTTAAGGTTCATCTGGCAGCACATTGTTCACTAGTTCAGGGATTATCCATATTTTATCATTCAAGTTCAAGTATGTTTTCTCATAACATTCTTAAAGGACTTGGTTAAGGTGTTTCTGGTTGTTGTGGGGGGGAATCCTTTTGTACAACTCGTACCCAATAGGCCGTCTGTTTGAGCCAACAGCATGCTGTTCTCTGTTTTTTAAATAAAAGACACCATCCTTTGTGGTTCCTAACTCAGAGGGGCATGAGGGTCCAAGCACTGATGGGCTGACTTTCCTGATGCCTTCTGTCTGCGTAAGATAACTTGAAGAACATATCCCAAGTTCTTATCAAAGGAAGTCAGATACTTCCATTTGAATAAGCAAATTTACTTATTTTTCCTCTGTAACTCTTACGTATCCAAGGCAAAAGAGGTAAAACTCAGACAGAAGATGGGCCAAGACACTCTATCTGCAAAGAGCAAAACCATTTATGTTTTCATCCAGCCTCTGTCTCCACATAAGAGAGGTTTTCAGTCCCTGGAAACAGGATTTCGATTGCGTACAAACCTGTAATGAACTGGCTTAAAAACATCCCTCACCCACACACACAGACACAACTATTTTATTTCTCTTGTCTCTTGCTCAGGCAGCTTCAGTAGCACTGTTGAAAAGTATGCCTGTTTCAGGCAGTTATTTGGTGGAATCTGTTTGCTTACGGGACATTAAGTGATTATTGAAGTCTCCAGATAAGTGGCTGATGGTTGGCAGATTCTCCCCTTCTGGCCTTGTTTTAGGGCTTGAGGGGAAGCATGAAGACAT